ATATTTATTAAAGGAAATAAATTAACTTATTAGAGTTTTGAAATATCTGACACTATATTATTTTTAAAAAGACACTTCAGGGCTGGGTTGTGGCTCATCCTAGCACTGGAGGGATCCCGGTTCTATCCTTAGCACCACATAAAAATAAAGGCATTGTGTTGTGTCCATCTACACCTAAAATAAATATTTAAAAAAGACACTTAAAAGGCATATATAGGTTAAAATGAATGGCATTAGGAATATGGGAAGAAAGTTTGAATATAAAGAAAGGATAAACGGTTGTATCATTAGACAAAATAGCATTCAAGGAAAATACAATGATGAGTTACATATAATTCATTTAGAGAAATGGTTAAATAAAAATACTTCTCTATTACAGGCATCCCTTTATGGTAAATTACATTACTGTTTAATATATTCATTCTCTCATAATATGAGATCATATAGCTCTTCCTCATGTAAGATTATATAGCTCTTCTAGACTGGCTACTTGCTTTGTTTAAAGGACTAGAAACAGAAGTATCTTTTTGTTTCCTGTCATAAGCTGTAAGAGCTATCTTGTGATTCTGACATCTCTTGTACATTTTTCCACAAGATTAGAAATGTTGTACATTTAGGCTCCTCATTCAATTTGTATCTCAAGGTGAAGACAGTGTGGAACAGAGCTGCAGATGGTATGCGAACATGACCTCTCATGTTCTTTTATGTCTCAACTTTTGGTGGAATTTGTTATTGCAGCAACACTTATCTTCAGTTGTATGTCCTAGTTCTTAATGCTAGTGCTCAAAAATATCAAGCCACAGTGACGGAATTAGAAAAAGTTATCTTAATAAAAATTGTTATTAGAGAAGTTAATTAGCCCTTCTTTACAGAATTAAAGCTAGGATAGGTGGCAACGTTTTACTTCAAACACAATTTAAAATAATAATAAAAAATATTGAGATAAAGCTAAATGATATATTACTGCAGTTCTTATAAATTAAAAGGTGATGCAAAACTTGATCATGAATTAAAATATTAAAATTTTACTTAAAGATCAGTCACATGCTTTGCAATTCACGTTGGAGCCTGATGTCAAAGGAAAACAAATCAGTAGTACTGATTTTAAATTTGTAAAACTGTATTTAAGTATCATGTATGCTGAGTAATGAGTTTTTGTTGACCTCCTAAATTTTGTGCTGAAGGTCAGGCTTGAAGTCTTAATGGCCATACTACCAAAAGCACTCTACAGATTTAATGCAATTCCCATCAAAATCCCAATGATGTTCTTCATAAAAATACAGCAGTCATGAAATTCTCTTGGAAAAATAAAAGGCCCAGAATACCTAAAAAATACTTAGTGAGATATACAAAGCAGGAAGCATCATAATTCCAGAACTTAAAGTATACTACAAAGCTATAGCAACAAAATCAAAATGGCATTGGCCCCAAAATAGAAGGTGACCCCCAAAGTGTACAAAATTAAAATGGCATTGACCAAAGGAAAAGAATAGAAAACACAAAAACAAACCCATATAAAAACAGTTACCTCATACTAGACAAAGGTGCCCCAAACACACACTGGTGGAAAGATAGACTTTTCTATAAATGGTGTTAGAAAAACTGGATATCCATATGTAATAAAATAAAAGTTAATCCCTATCTCTTATCCTTATCATAAAAGTCAATTCTAAGTGGAGCAAAGACCTAGGAATTAGACCAGAAACCCTGCACCTACTAGAATAAAAGGTAGGCCCAACCTTTCAATGTATTGGCACAGGAACTGACTTCCTGAAGAAGACTCCTAAGCCACAAGAAATAAAATAAAAAATCAAATAATGGGATGGCATCAAACTAAAAATCTTCTTCCCTGAAAAAGAAGCAGTCACGAGTGTGAAGAGAGAACCTAGAGAATGGGAGAAAACTTTTGCTACCCACACCTCAGTTAGGGCATTGATTTTCAGGATATACAAAGAACTCAAGAAGCTTAACACACACACACACACACACACACACACACACACACACACACACACAACTAACCCAATCAATAAATCATCAAAAAACAGATACTTTTCAAAATATGTAAAATCAATAAATATATGAAAAAATGTTCAACATCTCTAGCAATTAGAGAAACACAAATCAAGACTACACTGAGATTTCACTACAGTCAGAATGGCAGTTACCAAGTAATAATAAATTTTGTGAGGATATGGGGAAAAGGGAACACTGTTACATTGCTCATGGGACTACAAATTGGTGTATCCACTCTAGAAAGTAGTATGGAGATTCCTCAAAAAAACTAGGAATAGAACTACCATTTAACCCAGCTATCCCACTCCTTGGTTTATACCACAAGGACTTAAAATCAGCATACTACAGTGACACAGCCACATCAGTGTTTATAGCAGCACAATTCACAATAGCTAAGTTGTGGAACCAACCTAGATACCCATTAACAGATGAATGAATAAAGATATGTGGTATATATACACAATAGAACATTACTCAGCTGAAAGAAAAATGATTTTATGACATTCCCAGTAAGTGGATAGATGTAGAGACTATCATGAAAAGTGAAATAAGCCAATCCCAAAACCAAACATTGAATGTTTTCTTTGAATTAGAAGCTAAACCATAATAAAGGTGTGAAGGGGAAGGATAGTTCAATATATTAGACAAGGGAAAAAAAGGAAGGGAAGGAATAGGAATAGGAAAGACAGTAGAATAAATTTAACACAATTTTCCTATGTACACATATGAAAATAACTAAATGAATCCCAACATTATGCCCACCCACAAGAATGGGGTCCTAATTAGAAAAAGATATATCTTATGATATATAATATATAGCTTGTGCTTCTATAATTTTATTAAAATAGTTTCTACAGTCCTGTATAACTAAGAAGAATCAATAATATAATTTTTTTAAAAAAGATACAGGAGTATCAATAATCATTAACAAAAATAACCCATTAAATTGATAATTACAACATATGAATATATTTGTAAATAATAAGATCACTACTCCTAATTCACATAGTTTGAATGCTTTGAAATTATTGTTCTCAAAAATATCTGTAATCTAACTCAGTGATATTCTCCAGTTCCATCTATTTAATGGCAAATGCCATAATTTCATTCTTCTTTTAGGCTTGCCACAGTCCGGCTGCAGCAAAATAACCAGGGGGTGATGAGCAACTTGTGTAGATTGATACAGCAGGAGTGGGAGCCGTTTATTGTAGGACAGGAGGGGTATATATACATTCCACACAGCTTATTTTAATTAACATAAACTAGATACAGCAGTCAACCAATAAGGAATCTCCACACTCAATGGCTCGCTGGTGTTATTTCACAAACCACTCCCTCTGCAAAATGCCAGGTGCCATCTTGACTTGTTTACAGACTCTAACATAGGCTGAGTAATATTCTCATTTAATATAATTTTTAATCCATTCATTTTTTAATTTAATATAATTTTTAATCCACAATTTTTAATCCATTCATCTGTTGAAGGGCATTTAAGTTGGTTCCATAGTTTAGCTATTGTGAGTTGAGCTATTATAAATATTGGTGTGGCTGCATTATGTAATGTGCTGATTTTAATGAGAGGTAGAATAGCTGAGTCAAATGGTTGTTCCATTCCAAGTTTTCTGAGGAGTCTCCTTATGGCTTTCCATAGTGGTTGCACCAATTTGCATTCCCACTAGCAATGTGTGAGTGTACATTTCTCTCCACATCCTCCCTAACATTTATTGTTTGTATTCTTGATTATTGCCATTCTCAGTGGATGAAATCTTAGTTTTGATTTGTATTTCTCTAATTGCTAATGGTTTAGGCATTCCTTATTGTACAGTGAAAATTAAAACATTAATGGACAGCAAAAAACTCTAAATAAGTAGCAACAGAAGGAAAAATACACTTGATAAGCTTGAAATATTATATGTGGAACATTCAACAGTCAACAAAAAATACAACAGTATACGTATGATATCTAAACAGAAAAAAGTGTGTACTTATAGAATGTGGATCACTAAGAAAACTCAATCAATGTAATATAATTAAAATTTTAATATAAAGGAACATTGAAAATATATTTGGATTTACAAAAACAATATTTTTGCTCAAAAGATATTAAGAAACCCCAATGGCATTTACTTATTTACTCATTTACTCCTTTCTTTGTTTTTTGTTGGTAGGGATAAAACCCATGTCCTCATGCATTCTAAGCATAGCCTAATAGTGAGCTACATGCCCACCCTAAATGCTCTTCTTTTCTTAATACCCCACTTAAAAACAAAAGTACAAACAAAACAACAGCAAGAACAAAAACTACAGAAAAACATACTTAAAAACAAAACAACTAAAAAAGATATAACCATTTTTAAATATTAGTTTTCCCCAATTTCCCCAAGAAAATACTTGTTACTGTAGATTATTGGATCAGCAGAATGATAGGTAAGAATAAGTGGAGGTTTTGCCACAAGATTTGATGGAGAGCCTGGTATTATGCTAACCTTTCTCATATAATTCCCCATAAAATTACATATATGTCAAGTTTTCCTAAGTGTTTGACATAGGCAGTGAAAGATGTGAACTCTGAGAAAAGAAAATCCATGAGAAAAAGTAGTATACCTGGGTCAGATCACTGGAGGGGAATGATTTTCCAAAACATTGCAGAAATTTGGAGTTCAAAAAGAATAATCAAAGATGGTGGATCAGAAAGAAACAAACTTAATCATTCATCAAATCATGTTCAAACTGCTGAAATAAGCCAGAGAATATGCAAGACATTGTAGAAATGAGGATTGAGTTTTTTTTAATATTTATTTTTTAGTTTTCGGCAGACACAACATCTTTGTTTGTATGTGGTGCTGAGGATCGAACCTGGGCTGCACGCATGCCAGGCGAGCGCGCTACCGCTTGAGCCACATCCCCAGCCCAAGGATTGACTTTTAATTAGAAAAAATAGACACTGAAACACTATAACAGACCACCTTCCAAATGCTGTTAGGGTGCTCGATTAGGCAGCACATATACTAAAATTGGAACGATACAGAGAAGATTAGCATGGCCCCTGCGCAAATGCTGTTAGGAAAATAAATAAATTCTAATTATTCAAAAGGGATAAAATTTCTCTTTCAAACAAAGGTAAAATTAAGAGTTTTAGATAAATATATTTAGGAAACTTATTACCATGAATACTAGGCTACAAGATGTGATAAAAGTAGTTATTCAGAAACAAAGGAAACCATGCCAAATGGAAACACCGATAAATATATATAGCAGGAAAGGAAAGATGTTTTGAGTTGAAAATATATGAATATAAAAACAATTTTATTTATCTCATAATTCTTATATAGAACTGGCTTTTTAAAAGCAAACAAGTGCTAAGATGTAGGAATTTAAAACATTTGTAGAACGGATGTAAAAATGATACTATAAGGAACAGAATGCAAGTAAAAGAAGCTCATTGGATGGTGAAGTGTGTAGAGTGAAATAGAAAACATAAAAAAGGAAAAGTAGAAGAAAATAGTTCAAAATGGAAATATTAAGTTGGAGTTGAAAAGTGAGAAGTGAGAAACAGGAACTGGTTTGCATAAGTGTCAGCTGTGAAATGCAAACTGTGAATAATGAAATGTTAATCGAGTATACAAGCATATCTTCAGCTCTAGAGAAACTAAGTATAATAAAAATAAAAATTTTAAAATGAGTTCACCTTAAAAGCTAACATATTCTACTCTCTAAAGTAGAAAACAATACCTGAATATTTGAAATAAATACATTATAATGGATTCTAAGAGTAGAACTTCGTAAAGATTGGTTTATATAATTCCTGATTGAAAATCAGCAAATCAAACACATGACTATAAATGTATAGGATAATCATTAAAATGGAATATCTAGAAGTAAATTTCTTCATGGTAACAACAAAATAATTCAAAAAATGCCCAGTGAATGAATAACTTCCACAAATTAGTATAAAACAGAGAGAAATATAGGTAAATGATATGATAGCAATTTAAATACATGAATTATTTGATGAAAATCATTAATTAGTTTCTGGAAACAAATGTGAAATGTGAAGTTGTATGGATAGGTGTCATGAATATATGCTTTTTCCTAATAATTAAAAAGAGTCAATCACAAACCTCATTTATTCGAAAATTTCAATGTGCTTTAAGTGATACTTAAAACTGTTCAAATTTCAATAGACATATACAACAAAGGCATATTTTAGTTGAAAACTTCATTTATCAAAGTATTATAATATGAAACACTAAACATTTTTAGATGTCTTAAAGGAAAAGTGATTATAAAGAACCTCAGATATTTCACTTTAATACTTTGCCTACATGACTGCATAAGGATTTTATCCTAAAAAAAACCCTTTTCCTGTCAATGTTGCTGCAGTGATTATAAAATCACTTATTTTATGGATACCTAATGAATGTTTAGGGAATGAATCATTAAGCATACCTCATCAGGATGGTTGGACGTACCACCATGGTTTAACTTCTGCCTCACTTTCAAAATATCACAGTAGGAAGAAAACATTCTCTGCCTTTGTAAATCTCTCCGATAAGGTTGTGAAATCCCCTCCCACTCCAGACTGGGTTAACTTGGGCAAGTTACACAACATATTCTTTTTTACTTTATCTTTATCTTTGAATAATTCTGAGATTAAACCATGTAATCATGCTATGCACAAGATTGGCACATAGGTACTTTCCAGAATTATAATTCTGTTTTCTAAAATACCCAGGCTATATGTATCAAGTTTATAAGTAGTTTGTTTTTCTATATACAGTCTTCTTTTCAACCATATGTCCTTGTAGATACTGTTTTCCTTGGCCATGAAACTTACAAATTCTTGGATCATCATGAATTTCTATTGATTTTTAAAGATTCAGATACTTTTATTAGATCCTCATTAATTTTCATTTTAAAACACTGCTTTGAAAATTATTTAATACACATTTAATTATTATTAGTTTAGCAAATAAATATATTTATTTACTAAATAAATAAAGTAACATTCTACATGTTTCTTCTTGATAGGGAAGGGAAATACTGATTCTTATTATATCTCCATACAAAAATGAATCACCATATACCTTGCATCTCCCTCCAGCCACAACACCCATTACCCATTTCATATCCTCGCCAAAGAACACAATTTATTTCCATTGCTGCATGACCCAGTCCTTACTTACAACCTCCATTCCTATAACTTTTCTCACAGCCTCTGTCATCAATCATCTTCATTGTTATTAATGGCCTTCATAGTGGTTGCCAAAACTATAAAAAAATTCTCAGTCTTAAACCTCTCAACAGTATTTTTCATAGTTGGCAATTCCCTTTAATAATGTCCACTGTACTTTTGGATGCACTAATATCTCTTGTTTCCTGCTATCCAGTGGCTGCCACTTATTCTAAATGCTTCATCCACTTCATCTCCATGTAAGTGTCTGAGTGCCTCCATACTGCTCCTTGCTAACTACAATGCCTCTTCAGCAAATGTCAGAGTACTTTATCTTGAGGTACCATCTATGTTGTGAAGAAACCCGAAATTCAAACCTCTAGAATTTTTCTAGAGCCAACTCAGTACATCCACTTGGTTATTTAAAAGGACTTTCACATGTAATATAGGCAAAACTTTAATTTAAACTTGACCCTATGCCACAGCCATTTCTTTCATCAAGTTCTTCAAGTTTAAATCATTCTATGTATCTCCCACCATGTATTTTGTACACCAGCAATTCCTGTTGGCTTTTTTTTTTTGAAAGCTTTTTCCAATTCTGAATACATCTTCCTTCCTCTCCTAACAAAGTCCTAATATAAGTCCTTAGTTTCTCTACTTCTAAAATATTTAATCAGGTTTCTATTAAGTTTCTCTGTATTTATTTGTATACTCTCTCTCCTCTTTTTCAATATTATAGCCAGAGATATTTAAAAATCCAAAATATCTCAAGCTCCTATCTACAATTGACTCTCCAATGGCTTTCCTCCAGAGTTAGAATAAAATTTATGATCAACTCTAAGACCTACCAAAAATTATAGCCCATAATTTTTCACTTAAAATATGCATTTTGAAATTACAGCAGGACTTCTCAAAGGGTACAGAGGCTGAGGAAATTTTCATATGATACACTGACGACCCCCAACTTCTCTTTGTTCTCTTTCCTGTGATTATTTGCCTGACAAAAATTGCCAGAATGGTTCTTTGTTTTTGCCACCATGGTTACAATCTTCCTTTCACTTTACAAAGAATGTCCTGCCACCACCACTTGAAAAAGAGATTTGCTCAAGGGTTTCACAAACTTCTGCTGTATTATTCTAGAGGACTTGTGAATGAAGACCCCTTTATCAAGTATTGTGCTTGGGTTCTTTTTTCCTGGTATCCCTAACACATACATACTTACGTGCTTTTTTTTGAAAGCCTTTTCCAATTCTGAATACAAATTTCTCTCTCTCTCTCTCTCTCAGTGATTTTATGTATATATAAAAAATCTATATCCCATATGTATGGAACCCATAACTATATTTAAAATTAGATGTCCATATACTTACAGTTATAGTAACTGATAGTTGATACAATGGCATTGGAATTTTCAATGTTCTGTTGTATGTTAGAATGATCTGATTTCAAATAGATCATAACATCATTACTTTACCATAACTTTGCCTCTTTAATCTATTAACCATTTTCAAACAATGTATACTCCTTACGGAATATTTTAAGAGTAAAATAGCTAAATTCATAGGTAAATAATATTTAGTGTAACAGCCCATTGTTTTCATTCAGGCAAAAACTTGTGAGAAGTGTGGTAGATATAGAGCTTCAATAAAGGGATGCTGCCAGCTGTGGGGAGGGAGCAGCTGAGGTACATCCTGAAAGAAATATCAGCTGGAGGTTGTTTGTCTCCCTCCCTCCCCACAGAATCTGCTTCTGGAGATTTTAAACAGTAAGAGGTTGTATAGGAGTGGCCTGAGAAAGCAGATAAGAAATAAGAATTTGGAGTTACATTACTCACTGTTCAGATTAAATGAGGACTCCATCACTAATAATAGGTAAAATAAAGACTTTTTGCTGAGACTTCAATGATTAAAAGTCTATCAATGGTGAATTGGAGTCTTGTCCACTTGATATATATGCTAATGTATATGTAGTATCAGAACTTTGAGATGTAAGTAGAAAAGAGCAGGTACAAGTTCTCCAGAATTGAGTTCTTATTGAAAATTATCTTTATCAAATGGATAATGAACAGCTAAGGGGAGTATTAGAAGACTGAAGATCAGTTGTGAAATCCTGAAGCCCTCTTTGCCAACATACAAAGGAACTCTCATTTTAGACTTTGGATAGTGGAGAAAATGAGTACTAAGCCTAGCAGTTAAATGTCATATTGCCTGACATTAAAAGGAACAAACAACAACAACAAAAACAGTTAACCCAAGTAGATGCAATGTATCCTGATTGGGAACATGTGGATTTTGACTTTCATATTGTCCTGAATTTCTCTGAGCTACATTTATCAAGAGCTACCACTCCCAAGAGACAAGGGCAGAATTGGTAGTACCTTTGTAGATGTAAAATTTCTAGGGGAAGTAAGTCCAATTGCATATCTGTTTGAATCACAATATGATCCCTGAAGAATCAGATGGATCCTGGTGGATAATTGCACACTATGTCAAACTCAACAAGAAGCTACCATGCGTGAGATTCTTTTTTTGGTACTGAAGTATATTGATATTTGTAAGATGTGTGGTATGAACTCTTTGATTTGACAAATGCATTGTGTTATATCCCAAGTATTTAAAAAATCAGAAATAGTTTGTATTATTTTATAATCAACCAAAACATATCTTTATTATTTCACCTTTAGTTATGTTAATTCCCTTGTGCTCCATAAAAGTATATACTGAAGATATCTGAACTATCTTTTCTCATGGAACATCACCTTGATTTATTATCATGATGAGATAATTTTTGATATGGCTTAGTGAACAAAAGGTGGCTAATACAGAGTGGTTTTAGTCAGACACATGTGTTCCAAAAGGTGGAAGATTAAACCTATACAAATTAAGAAGGTTACTACTATCCAAGTTTTGGTGTTTA